AAGACAGAGCGAAGTGGAGGAGTAAGGTGAGGAAAGCTGACCCCACCACTATGTGTGATGCTGTGCTGGGAAGAGAGAGAGAGAGATTAAACTTCCATTCTATTCTCAATCGCTTGCCTATGACATTAAATTTCCACTCCTAACTCTTTCATTCAATTCTCAATCGCCCGCCGCTTCTACATTGAACCACGACCCACCACGTAGGGCCTATAGATCAAAGGCACCTGTAATATTAACGCCTACTATCACGCGCACATGCTGCCAGCTCAGGGGGCGCACATGTACATATCGTATACGTGAATTATACGGAACGTAAGTTTAATATGAATATTTAACAAAGAAAATATCTCATAGGTGTAGTTAAAAATATGTGAAAAGTTGGTAGGCAGCGGCTTGGCTCTGCCCCTGGCATTGCTGAAGTCCTTGGGCGACGGTAAGCACTCACCGTCAGGTGGACCGTATGCTCGTCGGCCTACATGGACTATCAAAAAATAAAGTTGGTAACGACTCAATCAACAGTTACAAGTTAGTATTACTTCTTTCTGTGCGCAAAGAAAAGTAAATTTCAAAAATAATAATATTTTTTCGGATGTTCTACTATCGAGAAGATGTACGGGTCATGGGCCCCCCGATAAAAACATAGCGCCGTATTAAATAGTAAATGATAAATTACATTTTTTTATTATTTTGAAATATGATACTGTTACAGAGCCCACTAAGCACAATACACATGACTGGAAACTAGGTACTTGCACACTCATACCCAAGTATATATTTTTTTTATTGCCATTGTAGGCAGACGAGCATACGGCCCACCTGATGGTAAGTGGTCACCGTCGCTCATGGACGTCAGCAATGCCAGGGGCAGAGCCAAGCTGCTGCCTAAAAGCATAAACCAAGGTGGGAGAAAATCTTGTAGAGGGGACATGAAGCTTACCGGAACGATTACTATCAGACAACTTCTACTGTTTTAAATACTTAGTTCATGCCATTTATATTTCCGTACTTAATATTTGGTAGCCTAAGGAGCTACACAAACTGCTCGCGGACTGGAGTGCCATTTTCAAAGTAAATTTACTGGTGGTAGGACGTCTTGTCAGTTCGCACTGGAAGGTACCACCACCCTGCCTATTGCTACCGTGAAGCAGCGCAATGTATTTCGGTTTGAAGGGTAAAAAATGGAAGAAGCGTACAAAAAAAAAACGAATTTAGTTCTGTGCGTCCTTGTTATTTAGAACACAAAAAAGCCAATAGCCCACGTAACGTGAACTCGTACGGATGGGTATCACCATCCTATCTATATCTACGAAGTAGTCATACTTTCTGGTTAGTATTTGAGAGTGTTTCAGCCGATGTCTGATCACGTTGTCTGGAAACCAATAAAATACGAGGTGTAGTGTGAGCTCACAATTAAAAAGACACAAGCTATTTTTAATTATAGACATTAACAATGTATCTAAATGTCACCACCCACCTTGAGCCATGAGTTCTAAATCTAAGTTTTATAGTACAACGGCTGCCCCACCCTGCAAACCGAAACGCATTACTGTTTCACGGTAGAAATTGGCAGGATAGTGGTACCTACCCGTGCGGACTCACAAGACGTCCTTCTTCTTCTTCTTCCAGTGCCTCTTTAATCCTGAAGGTTGGCCGTTAGCTTTCTGTATTCCTTTCTGTCAGCAGCCAGCCGGAACAGCTGTTCGACGGAGGCAATACCGGTCCACTCCCGGATATTCCGGAGCCATGACTTTTTTCTTCGCCCAGCACGTCTCTTTCCGTCCACTTTGCCCATAATTATCAGCTGCAGCAGTATGTATCGATCGTTCCTGAGCACGTGGCCGATATACTCTATCTTGCGCTTTTTGATAGCAGGCAACCTTTTCCGGGACATATGAACGCGCTGAAGACGTCCTACCACCAGTAAATACACAAATTATAATTTTGCGGGTTTGATTTTTATTACACGATGTTATTCCTTCACCGTTGAAGTCAATCGTGAACATTTGTTAAGTACGTATTTCATTATTTTGTCAGCGGGTTGCGACTCCGATTCGCTAGTAGATTCATTCGCGAAGCAGCTACTCTTGAGTTGTTAGGTCTCCTTTGGAGGCGTACGAGCGGCTGTTTAGCGAATCCCACCCCTCCTGGCTGAGCCCTTGTTCGCCCACCTACCCTGGTAAAACTGGAAAAGTGTCCGGGCCACCAGTAATCTCTCAAAAATAAAAAAATAAACGTATTTAATTATAAAATTAGTACACGCTTGCGGGACTTGAACACCGGTGCATCGTTTGACACGAATGCACTGGGTGTCTTATCCTTTAGGCCACAATTACTTCAAAATATCGTAGATATACAGATGCTCGCTGCTTGCTTGAGACAAAAGGTCTCTATGAAATTGTAAACGATTTGAATGCCCAGTCAGCCCAACGACCTCAACAAATCCAGCAATAAGACGAGCGTCAAAAACCTACTTCACTTTGTGCATCTATCTTTTTTTCTTTCGTTACTTTTAAAAGTATTACTCGGTAAAGGTGGGTCGTTAAAAGCTGGTGCATTAACACCTACGCGATATCAAAGCGTCTTTGAAGACACATGTAATCTCGCTTGCCTGCGCTTATCTGTGTTATGCTTTGCAGCGTGCTCTACTTCGGATAAAAGAATAAATTATAAATGTTACCAAATTTCTCGTTCATTTGTATTCGTTGTATTCTGCCATTTTAATGCACTGTTATTGCTTGACGTGTGTTCTTTTACAACCTATACGCTAGTACCCTAAAGGAGTATTCCAGCTACGCGCGAACGGGTAGGTGAGGCTCAACCGTCGTCGTCGTGGCCTAAAGGATAAGACGTCTGGTGCATTGGTGTTGAGCGATGCACCAGTGTTCGAATCCCACGCGGGTACCAATTTTTCTAATGAAATACATACTCAACAAATGTTCACGATTGACTTCCACGGTAAAGGAATAACGTCGTGTAATCAAAATCAAACCCACAAAACTGTAGTTTGCGTAATTACTGGTAGTAGAATCTCTTGTGAGTCAGCACTGGCAGGTACCGCCACCCCGCCTATTTCTGCCGTGAAGAAGTAGTGCGTTACGGTTGTAAAGGGTGGGGCAGCCGTTGTAACTATACTTGAGATCTTAGAACTTATATCTCAAGGTGAGTAGCGCATTTACGTTGTAGGTATCTATGGGCTCCAGTAACAACTTAAGATCAGGTGTACTGTGAGCTCGTCCTCCCATCTAAGCAATAAAAAAACAAAAAAAAACCGAAGAGGATTTGCTAACACTAGCAAGCGCAGTGCTTTGCAAAATCTTCCACCGGATCGGAAGCGCGACCCGCTAAGAAAATCTGGCGAGAAACTCAGTGGACTGTGTCTATGGGTTAGTTCTCCTATCGAACTCTTCGTCGTAATCGACGAGTTTTCGACGAGGATAATATTGTTACCGTTTATATTATCTATAACCAGCTTTAAGACATCCGATTAACCACAAAATTTGTACCAGCGTACATTTTTAACGCAGTGATCCTGATCAGAATATTATGATAATATGATTGTTTATGCATTGTCTTTTTATAGGACGTATTGGAGTTAGTAAGGAAGTTGGATATAAATAGATATCCTTATATACTTAATAAAAGCGTTTTAAAAACCAGTCATCGCTTATCCGAACCGTGTCACGGTTCAACAACAACATTAACCAATACAGCTTATAAATCTATACTAATATTATAAAGCTGAAGAGTTTGTTTGTTTGTTTGAACGCGATAATCTCAGCAACTACTAGTCCGATTTGAAAAATTCTTTCAGTGTAAGATAACATCACGGTAAGACCAATACAAGTGGAGCACCAATAAAGAATGTTTCAAAATAGGTGTTTAAATAGCTCCTTAACATTCTATTATATAATTAAAAAATATTTTCACCTTCTACGTAAATGAAGTGGGGGTAAAACTCAGCGTTATGCCAAAGTAATTATTCCACGCGGACGGAGTCGTAGGAAAAAGCTAGTTAAATATAATTAAGAAACAGAGCTACTTTCACGCCGTTGCTAGTGTAACATACTATTTGTCACAATGGAACTCCTTTTTCGGTCCTTTGTGGCTTTCTGCTTTGATTAACTTTGATGTAGGTGAGTACAGAGGTAGTGCTAATGGATTGTGCCTAAGAGTGCTTTCACCTGCTTAAGAAATTGGATTTCTTGGAAAATTACCTTTTTATTTGAAGCCTGGAGATCCAAACCCAAATATTATTATAAGTCTACTGGTGGTAGGACCTCTTGTGAGTCCGCGCGGGTAGGTACAACCGCCCTGGCTATTTCTGCCGTGAAACAGTAATGCGTTTCGGTTTGAAGGGTAGGGCAGCCGTTGTAACTATACTGAGATCTTAGAACTCATATCTCAAGGTGGGTGCCGCATTTACGTTGTAGATGTCTATGGGCTCCAGTAACCTCACAAGAGGTCCTACCACCAGTAATTACGCAAATTATAATTTTGCGGGTTTGATTTTTATTCCACGATGTTATCCTTCCCCGTGGGAGTCAATCGTGAACATTTGTTGAGTACGTATTTCATTAGAAAAATTGGTATCCGCCTGCGGGATGCGAACACCGTTGCATCGCTCGATACGAATGCACCGGACGTCTTATCCTTTAGGCCACGACGACTTCAAGATACACGGCGACATTCATATCAAGAGTTATAGGATCCGATAGTCTCTTAAGGCCAGGGTTTTTATACCATTCCCTAGTCATATCGTCGTTATCAGTTCTGAAGCATGATCAATATTACATAGCAAATCTTATCTACAAACTGATGGCAGTTAATGGCCAACAGCACTATACGCGACGTGCGAAAACCTTTAGCAGAATATAGCGTTAAATTGTCATAATATAGCGTCAGCAGCGTAATATAGCGTCAACCCTAAAGTGCGAAAATAAACTCCCTCTACTTCGAAATATAGGTAGTGATGGATCAAAACGGAAATAATAAAACCGAAATAAATCAAACAAATATTTTATTCGCTACCCTATCGTGTTTTTAGTGTACAAGATCCTAACATTGCAGATGATCGACAACACTTTGTTAGGTCACTTTGGACTACATTTTTCGTTGGTGTTGGTGGTTTAGACTTGAGGGAGCTGGGGAATGTCTGCTCCGGAGGGATGGAAACCATTTTCGTCAGCGGTGTACGTCGTCTCGTGGACCTTTCCATCGAGGTCGACGTACGAGTACTGTCCGCGAACCTCAAGAGCCTCATTTTCGGTACCGACGTTCTTCAATACAGCAGATTCCTGGGCTGTTTTGCCATCAGAAGTTTCAAAGCTAGTGGAAAATTAAACTTTTAAAATTTTATTACTGGTGGTAGGACCTCTTGTGAGTCCGCGCGGGTACCATCACCCTGCCTATTTCTGCCGTGAAGTAGTAATGCGTTTCGGTTTGAAGGGCGGGGCAGCCGTTGTAACTATACTTGAGACCTTAGGACTTATATCTCAAGGTGGGTGCGCATTTTACGTTGTAGATGTCTATGGGCTCCAGTAACCACTTAGCGCCAGGTGGGCTGTGAGCTCGTCCACCCATCTAATCACTTGCTCGAAGCGAGGGAATATCGTTATTTTTACACGCTTTATATTAGCTTCACTTGTAATGGTAATAGGACCTTTTGTGAGTCTGCATGGGTAGGTACCACTGCTCCGCCTATTTCTGCCGTGAAGCAGTAATGCGTTTGAAGGGTGGGGCAGCCGTTGTAACTATACTGAGACCTTAGAACTTATATCTCAAGGTGGGTGGCGCATTTGCGTGATGTCTATGGGCTCCAGTAACCACTTAAAACCAGGTGGGCTGTGAGCTCGTCCACCCATCTAAACTATAAAAAAAAAGAAAAGAATACTTACCCAAAGCCGTAACCCTCAACGCCGATATTGTCAAATGTCTGTTGAAGGATGACAGCATCCTTGCTGTTGGTGGTGATGGCGGCGGCCGAGGCAGCGGCCACGAATAAAGCGAAAACGATGCACTGCAATAGCAAGATACACAGTATATCATTAAACAATTAATTACATAAGTAACTATACTGAGACCTTAAAACTTATATCTCAAGGTGGGCGGCGCATTTACCTTGTAAATGTCTATGGGTTCCAGTAACCACTTAAAATCAGGTGGGCTATCAGCTCGTCCACACATGTTTATTTTTTTTTGGCCCTTGTAGGCAGACGAGCATACGGCCCACCTGATGGTGAGTGGTTACCGTCGCCCATGGACTTCAGCAATACCAGGGGCAGAGCCAAGCCGCTGCCTACCGCTTAATACTCTCCACAAGCCTCTTTTAAAGAAGGACATGTCATAGCGCTCGGGAAACACCGTGGAGGGGAGTTCATTCCATAGCCGGATGGTACGTGGCAAAAAAGATCTCTGGAAACGCACTGTCGATGATCGCAGTGGCTCCAGGTAGTATGGATGAACTCTACTTCGGTGGCGGGCGGTGCGATGGTAAAAACGAGATGCCGGTATCATGTAAGCAATAAAAATGGTATTACGTTTCGACCTGGCCTAAAGGCACGCCGAACGTTTTTTTTCATTACCTCGGATGCACTAGTACTTTTTAGGACTATTTTAATACTTTAAAGTTTTCGTGGTCATGGAATAACTATGGTGTAATTCGTTAATATTTGAACATTGAACTGGCTACCATAGAAAAAAATAAAAATCGTGCACCCAGAAACTTTGAGTCAACTGAGATCGCGTTGAAACAAAAAAAAAAAAAAAAAATAACGATGACATATATAATATGAAGGAGCACGCGGCCTTATCCGTCACATTAGCTCCAAGCGCGACTCTCCAGCCTCAACTATAACAAGTGGTAGACTCCTGAACATCCTATTATCTTTTTATCTTCATCTTCAAAGATCTTTCGGATCAGTTTCAGTACAGTATTAGGAGATATGCGCAAAATGTATGACTCTTTAATACACGAGAACTCTATCTCAATAATGTAGTGACCTATCGGATTCTCTTTATATTTAATATTTAAAATCCTACGCATAACAAGATCGCTAAATGTCAAGGTTTAACATAAATACCATTTAAAATTCTAATTTCATGTTAATTATGCTCATCTTTAAAAATTATTGACTGTTTTCATACATATTAATGATCGATTTTTTTACTAGTAGATTATGTTGGAATCCTGCTATGTCATAAATTAAATATACATCATTTACACATCTATATTATATTGTAATTCCATTGTTATAGTTTCATCGGTATTATTAATATTGAACACAAACGGTTGATAGGTCCGATGGTAGATTTCGGTAGGCAGCGGTTTGGCTCTGCGCTTGGCATTGCTGAAGTCCATGGGCGATGGTAACCACTCACCATCAGGTGGGCCGTGTGCTCGTCTGCCTAAAAGGGCAATAAAAAAAAAAAACCCTTCCAACCTGGGTTGAGGTCACTCGCCTTATCGACACGTGTGACGTGATGCGTACCCAACAGCTTTAAGGGGCTATTCCAGCTACGACCGAACGGGTAGGTGAGCTCACGGAGTCAACTTGAGAGAATTTGCTAACACTAGTCCTAGCAAGAGCAGTGCTTCGCAGAGGCTACCACCGGATCAGAATCGCGACCCACTGCGAAGATCCGGTGAGGAACTCAGTGGGTAAACGGCCTGTGCCACTAACAATATGTCAGCAGTGGGTACATTCGAATCCTAAAGACGTCTATAACGTAAATGCCGACACTTTGAAATATGAGCTCTAAGGTCTCAAATATAGTTACAACGGCCGCCCCACCCATCAAACTATTAACGCAGGCAGGGCGGTGGTACCTACCCGTGCGGACTCACAAGACGTCCTACCTAAGAAAGTTGACTGTTTTCTATTACTTTGTATATTTCCCTTAAGTGCGTCCTTATAATATTAAATATGATTAGTTGAGATGCGGCAGCTGTGATAAAATCTTCACGATTCACTCAGCTGTTTAGGATTTACATATATTTGTGCCACTAGCTTTCGGCTCGCAACGTTGCCTGCGTATCGCGTAGAAAAAAACCTATTCTCAACGATGGAACTCAAGGTAGCTTTTACGTATTATTTTCCAGGACGCAAACTCTTTCGATTACTGATTTTTAAAATCAATTTCATTGGTCACTAAACGTTACAGACTGCCAAATTGGCCTTATTACTTAATAATTAACTTCTGACAGTACCAATAAATGTTGAACCCTTGATAATGATAGCTAATTAATATCTGTCTACTTGTTAGGGCTACATGAAAATCCGTTTAATAGCTTCGAAGGTGTTCCTAATTAAAACAGACAGAGGGAAGCAAAATAATTGGCAGTATTTTATTTAGCACCTTTTTTTTTAAATTACTTTTCATCGATGTGAACACACCAAATTCTTGTGTAGTATTATTTATATACACATACGTATTGAATATTCTAATTAAGTATTAAAATTCAAAAGGCAAGAATTCAAGTATCTTATTTCTGATTCAATCTATTTTCGTCAAATGACCGGCATTCGTAATCGTGTGAAGACGTTCACGTGTACTCGTGAACGAATAGAATCACGTATGATGCTTTGACATTTGCCGCCATTTTGCCGCACCCAACGCGTCGCCCGGCTCTGGTAGAGAAACAGCAAAGAAGGAAGCGAATTCAAATATTGATTGCCTTTTATTACTAACTCTAAATGCTCTATAAGTCGTTCATAACAGATTTTTCTAATATTTCAGTTAGGTACTATCTCATATTTAGTGTGTACTCATAAGTCAGTTTCATTGAATTCGCCCCCTAAGTCTTGTTGGAACCAACGAAAAATTTAACAAAGAAATTTTTATTTTAAAAATGATAATCTGGGTGAGAGACTGCTAATTTATTTTTGTGTAAATCTTGAATTTAAAAACATTTTTTATGTTCCTGTTTTAAAATAGACCAAATGTTAGTTTCTGGTTTTTTTTTAAACTCAATCTCGAGGGATTTCGAAGTCGTCGTGGCCTAAAAGATAAGACGCTCGGTGTAGTCGTATCAAACGATGCGACTGAGTCGGTGTTCGAATCTCGCGAGCAAGTACCAATTTAATGAAGGAAATACGCACGTGCCGTTTTTTCATGACTGACTTCCACAAAAAAAGAAAGAACATCGTGCTGTTACGGGGATTTGATAAAACGACTTAAAAAAATATATATATAAGACGAGACTGTAAGAAATTTAGAAAATAATTAAAATATTTGAAACTAACAATTACCACCGGGGAGCGCGGTTAGAATTGACCTGCGTGATCTCTCTGCGTCTATGGGGTCCAGTAACCACTTAACACCAGGTGGGCTGTGAGCTCGCCCACCAATGTAAGCAATAAAAAAAAAAGCGAGACTACTTGGCACAAGTAAATAGTACTAATACTCACGGATTTCATAATGAAGGTTTGGTCCGGTGAGGGTTTACTGCTTGATGGAACGATGCCGACTGTGGTCGATGTTAGAATTTCACCCATTTATATATGAAATGATCGAGTATATATTTAAGATATATCCGAAATTATGCGCGGCAATATTTTTTTCCTACCTAAACTGATAGCCTTGAAAATGATGTGCCTTGATTATTTTAAAAACGTAGACAAGGAACGAGCCTACGGTCCGCTTGCTGTTAAGTGGCCACCGGGCCTTTACAATGTAAACGCCACTACGTCCCCACCCACTAAATCGGACCATATTAGTGCTTCGTGGCAGAAATAGACAGGGTGGTGATAACTAGTCGACCGGGCTCACTATACCTGAAGAATTCTACAAAATCAAGATATTATTACACAGTAATAACAAATAACTGAATTAACTTTCTTTTTTTTTATTGCTTAGGTGGGTGGACGAGCTCACAGCCCACCTGGTGTTAAGTGGTTACAGGAGCCCATAGACATCTATAACGTAAATGCGCCACCCACCTTGAGATATAAGTTCTAAGGTCTCAAGTATAGTCACAACGGCTGCCCCACCCTTCAAATCGAAACGCATTACTGCTTCACGGCAGAAATAGGCGGGGCGGTGGTACCTACCCGTGCAGACTCACAAGAGGTCCTACCACCAGTAATTACGCAAATTATAATTTTGCGGGTATGATTTTTATTACACGATATTATTCCTTCACCGTGAATTAACTGCATTTAGTATTTTGGAACACTTACACATTATGATGAAATAATATATCAAAAGCTTGATCTATGAGTGTACGAGTGAGATAACTCTTCAAATACGCAATGTAGGTACGCCCGGAGGCAAGAAGGACACGAAATAATCGAATCATTCTTTGTTTCATTTAAAAATTAAGATCGTGCTCACGAAGGAGAATTGTTTGTTCCTTGCAGTTTCAAATTCACTGTCTCTTATTTCATCGAAAAGAATCCGCCAACCGCATTGAGATAGGGAATCAAAGCTATCCAATCTTTCCGGCATTTTTTGTTTATCTTGCCCACCTTACATAGATAAATCGACGGCTGCCAACGTCCACATCCATAACACAAGGTGAGCTTTTCGTTCATCTATATATATAAATGAATTGCTGTTCGTTAGTTTCGCTAAAGCTCGAGAACGGCTGGATCGATTTGGCTAATTTTGGTCTTGAATTATTTGAGGAAGTCCAGAAAAGGTTTAAAAGGTATATAATAAATATGAAAATGCTCGGAATTAAATAAAATAACAATTTTGTTTTTCCTTTGATGTGGCCCCCGTCGGACGGATTCCTTTTGTTTGTTTTAACTTTATTTTACACAAAAGTTTAGATATTTTCTTTATCGATTGAGGCACTACGAAGTCTGCCCGGTCAGCTAGTTTCTAAATATATATTTTTTATCCACCTTATCCCACTAGGTGGGCTCAGCACAGCTAATTATTATCTTACATTCTCTTCTATCAGCCGTCATCCCAACACTCACTCCTCTCTCTCTCTCTCTCATATCGTCATTCAAACACTCCATCCATGTCTTCTTCGGTCGACCCCTCTACCTCTACCTTTTCTAAATCTTCAATAATAATTAATTTCTAAATCTACGCTTATGTTAAAAAGCGGCTATTTTATTGTTAATCAACGAATTGCGGTGACAACGACAACAATATACTATCACTTGTGAATCCTCAATTTACATTATTTCAAAATAGTTTTACGAGCGACATTTTTAGGTATTTTTTGGTAATGACATTTAAAAAAGTTTATTATCCTATATTAACCCGCTATAGTTTTACAATCAACCTTGACATTCACTTTCCACGGCGCGCCGTTGAAGATGAGACTCGGTTGAGATTAATCAACAGAACCGGTTCATCCGAACAGCAAAACTTTAGAACATACGATACGATGTTTTCAAATAGTAGAATGTGATTACGATTTTTTTTATGTGAAATCTACTTTGACAGATAAGCAAATGATTCATGCATACAATTGACATTCTTTTTTCACTTGTTAATAGTGTATACAGACAGTCAAAAATGATCTCCGTTGAAGAATATCAAGATAATTTCACAACATTCAAACTAATTAAAACAATATTGATAATTCGAGAAAAGTCGTGTTACAAAATCGTATCGAACACTCTAATTAAAGACTTGAAGTCGTGAAGATGCTTTTTCGATAATATTATTTGTACAACATAAGAATTATGTAAATTATTGAGCACTTTTTTTTAAACATTAATTATTTGCGTAAAGATTTTTTTGAAACCAACAAAGAGTTACTGGATATGGGTAAAATTTCTCGTTGTAACTGGTGTAACTCGTCTTATCTTATACCGTGCTTAAAGCTCAGCCAGGAGGGACCTTGCTTCTTTCGATCGTGTTGTAAGCCTTGTCAAAATATTATTTATAAAAACTGACTGTCTCCATGCAGTAGTAACTAGCGACCCTGTAGGATCGAAGGTTATGGTCATGGGTTCGATTCCCACAGTGGGCAAACATTCGTGTGATGAAAAGGCTTATTTGCTTTTTTCTGACTTGTTATTATCTATTATATGCATTTATTTAAACGTATATAAGTATGTATCTCATTCTCTAGTGCCCATCACAGTGAATCTAAATTAAGCCAAATGACCGTGCGTGATTTGTTCCCAATCATTATTATTATTATTATTATTATAACAAGGCGCCTTCAGTAAGTACTTCATATGTGATATTCCTAAGATACAAAATGCTCTTTCTGTGGACCTTTTACGCCCAGAGAACTGCAATCCGAATGCAATTTGTAAATTAAATAAATAAATCGTCGCACAAAAGTAAAAAGAACATCACTTATTGAAAGTAATATTTCTTTTGCACTGTTTCTGTCCATGTCAGAGCCTCGCTCGTCTCAGCTCAGAAAAAAGTCTTTACGGCAATTTTCCGTACTCCCTGTATCCCCGGACGATGCCAAAAGAACTGCAGCCAAATAGTTGCCTACCGTAATGTTCTTTTATCACTACATAGTATAAAACAAAGTCGCTTTCTCTGTCTCTATATATGCTTAAATCTTTAAAACTACGCGACGGATTTTGATGCGGTTTTTTGACGTGACAACGTCTTTTAATTGGATGGAGCCGGCTGCACGCACGAAAAAACATGACTCGTGCGGCGTTACCTCGCTCTGAGGCGTACATGTTTTCGTCAAGTATGAAACTCGGTGAAAAATGAATGTGGTGTCAATTGTTTATAGCAACGATAATTGCGATAATTGAAAAATGAAACCATTCCATGAGTATTTTCTTATGACGTTGTCACGTTCAACTATAGTCAGTAAACCGACTTTACAGACAACCGATTTTTTTAATAGATAGAGTGATTGAAGAGGACGGTTTATATGTATAATAACATCCATTAAATAATGGAGAAATCAATAATAAATTACAGTTTCCGAAGCGAAGCGAGGGCGGGTCGCTAGTTACAAATAAATTAGGAAACAATCCTAAATAATGTGTTTTTCGGAACATACATGATGACTAAAGATCCTGTAATTCGTTACTAAAATATTAGTATACTAGCGACCCGCCCTCGCTTCGCTTCGGAAACATTAAAACACAAATGAAACCAAAAAAAAAAAATTAAAAAAAAATTAAAAAAAGTAGCCTATGTTCATCAGGGACAATGTCGGCTTCTAATGGAAAAAGACTTTTTCAAATCGGTCCAGTAGTTTTGGAGCCTATTCGAAACAAACAAACAAACAAATCTTTCCTCTTTATAATATTAAGTATAGATATTGAGTATTGAATTTTATTACAAAAAATCCAAGAAATCTGTTGCAGATACATTTATGAATCAGTATGTTACAGAATCGCATTAGAGAATTCGGATCGAACTGTTTCGCAATGTGAATAAGGCTTCGTCGTCATTTAATCGACATTCAAAACTCAATTTTATGTCAATCAAAGCAAAAGTCTAATTTTACACTATTTTATATGTTTATTGATTTACATACCTAATTAATTTCCATCAATAAATCCGGTTATTAACATATCGCTGATTAGGTGTGCACTTTTTAGCGCGTGAATCCTTATTAGATCTAATGCGTATCCAAGGCTTATGATTTTGTTTTAAATTATTAATATATCAAAATGTCGCTTTGATTGTTGCGAGGTTAACAGATTTATGATGGCTACTACCAGTCCTGGAGTGATTGCGGCACTTAGTTCTTGACACAAGCTTGGAATCTGTTTTTAGTCAATCATACTGTTTTGTATAACCGGACGACTAGCCCGTAAACAAAACAAGGTAACGCCGCAACCCTGCTTGAGACATGAGGTCTGATCGTGAGTCTCCCACCCTTCAAACTGAAAAACATTAATTACTGCTTGCGGTTTTTTTTTCTACTTAAGCTGATAGCCTTGAGGCTATATCAGCGGAACCTTAACTAGTAGGTGAGCTCACGGGGCTCAAACCTGACGACGTTGCTAACACGAACCCTAGCAAGAGCCGTGCTTCGCAGAATCTACCACCGGATCGGAAATGCCCACTGAGAAGATCCGACAAGAAACTCAGTGGGATGTGTCTGAGGGTTAATTTCCCTTCGTCGCCAGCGACAGGTTCGACGAGAACGGTGACCGGTGCTTGAGGTACCTAAAACCACCGTTAGTGGATCGGGAGGATCCGAAATGACGTGTTTGGGGCGACGTCGACTGCTTTCCATTCTTTTCGTAGGATCGGGAATGTAGTTACCGGCGGCCACGATGAGAGGGTTCTCGTGTCGTGCCGCTTTATCGAAGTGGTGCTTGCGGTAGAAATAGTTAAGGGCACATAAGCTCACAATACGCCCTGCTGGAGGTAAACTTCACGAGAGACAGCGCATGTGCTCAATGATCATTACATTTAGCTTTAACCTTCCAAATCCGTTAATTTAATCCGATCAAATATAAATGACATATGAATTTTATGCTAATACTACACAAATTCCACATGGATTGCTAACATCGAATTAAGTCGGCTGATGTAAGAATGATCTTCACTGTTAGTATGC